TTCAATCCCTGCCGAGGTAGGTGGGATTTTTCTATGTTATAAAAATCTCTGGTCACGTCTTCCTTCGGAAGGGAAGTAAAGCCGTTGGTCCCGGCCCATATGTGTTGTTGAATGGTTGCGATAGTCTACGCAGGTGTGAAAGTTACCTCCCTGCACATTCAATTGCCGTCAATGGATGGCAATCGATGTCAGTCAGTGATTGGCACTAGTTTGCGGAACAGAGACCGACGTTAAATAAAGTAATGATGAAAAAGAAAAAGGGGTGAGAGGCAATCACGCTTACCGCTGATTCGCTATATACCTATCGACGCTGTTCAATAACCTACAGAATCTAGGTTACAACGTTGGAACAAGTGGAGCTGCATTGTTCAATACAGTTGTAAAATGATAGCTGCTGAACCAGCTTTTGCTGCTTGTAAGGTTGGATCTGGACCATTGGAAGCTTGTGCTCGCTTCCAACGACTGTCAAGGTCGCTTCCAACGTTGCAAGTTCATTTTGAGGATCCAAACTCCTGAAGGAATCCTTTTGCATGCAAAGCCATCACTCCAGGCTAGCTCCTTTGCACTCACTACATCACCGTACTGCTTCACAAGGCAGCAAGCATTTCGTCCTTCGTCACATTCTCAGACATTTAGTGGATTTTAAATTCCACTCCCCGATCGTCCATCTGAAGTCGCACTTTGTACTTCTTCTTGTTCACCTCCAGCTCATGTCGTACGTCATGTAGAATCACCGTGTCCTGGGCTGTTTTCATGTCAGGACATTTAACATGCACACAATGTTGTGCATGGTTGATCTGGAGTCGCAATATTTGGTCGAGTCGCAACCCGAGAGTATGATGCACAAACAAGTGCAGATCTTCGAACGACGGCCGCTTTGGGAAGTTCGAGAGTAGTACCAACAATCAATACGAAACTAACGATTTCAAACTGGCTCACTACTTGACTAGCCTATTGGTCCCAAGCAAACGATTAACGTACCCCATTCTAGTCAAAATTCTAGTACTACACAATGTTTGTTTTGATTCGCTATGAAAGTTTGACTGTTAAAATGAGGGGTTCGTGGATTTTCCTATGTTTCGAGGGGTGAATCGATTAGCTTGGGACCGAAGATAGTACCAGAGCAGAGCCAAAAAGTTGAGCACGTTTCTTCGGGACCTACTAGTCTTAGAGTAACCTCTATGGTAGAATTTCGACTAGAATGGGGTACGTTAATCGTTTGCTTGGGACCAATAGGCTAGTCAAGTCGTGAGCCAATTTAAAATTCTTAGTTTCGTATTGATTGTTGGTAATACTACATGCACTAAACTAAGGACACGGGATATACTACAATAAGGCTATATATAATATATATAATTGAAAAGTGCACTTTTTAGTCATTTTCCCTAAAGTATTTGGAATATATGTAGGATATGATGTACATTATTAATCTAACTAGTATCGTCCAATTTTATAGTGAATTGTGGCTAAACCCACTGGTATTACACCTGATGTCAGTGCCTTTAAATAAACGTACTACGACGTGGCTAAGAAATTAATGAAAAGAATATGTCAAGAGCCAATTTTCATTATGTCGAAAGTAACATTCGCACCGATTCGAGAAAAATAAAGTTTTGTTTTGATGACCGAAAAGTTGTTCCTATTTCCAATTAAACACATATAATCTTATAGTGATAGCAATGTTTAACATCTTATAATACCCTGTTCACATTACAGTGTATATCACGTGATATACGCTGTCTTGCAATGAGCACTCATACATCTAGTTTTCACTGGAAATCATATGTATGAGTGCTCTTTGCAAGACAGCCTATATTACGTAATATAGGCTGTAATGTGAACGGGGTATAAAGCAGGGTTTTAATCATACAAAGCAGATCGCTAGCTTTCATGCTAAAAAATACTGGTTTTTGAGTCAACAGTTATTATACGTCGTTTGGTGGCCCCCTAATGTCAATGAGCTGGATTACCGAGGTGAAGCAATCAGTTAAGTTATGTTAGTGAAACCCCTGTAAGATACAAGCAATTAGTGACGTCACTAATTGCGTTTACGTTGATTTTTTGGTTTACTAATACAACCATATTTCTCTATCTGCTTCACCTCTCTCTGTACCTCATTGCCCTAATGTTACTTAAGTCAAAGTTAAAGAGCCTGAATTTTTTAAATTCAGGCTCTTTAGTCAAAGTGTATTTACCAGGATACTGGGGAGAATTATCAGTTACGTCTCCTTACGTGCAGCCTATTAATCATTTTAGGACCACCAAAATCATCTTAGCAACAAACAGTTCGATTTATTCATTTTAATAATGAGAAAACGAAACGACGAACGTACACTTTTCACGGGTTTCTCTGCGCTGTTATTTAAGACAAACGGCATCTCCATAGAATTCGGGTGACTTAAGTAACATCGAAAAATATTCAGATCGGAAGGTGATTACGTCAAAAAGCAATTTGACTGGTAAATAAATTTAAAAATGGGATGTGATCCTATATTGGGACAGTAGAGGAAATGGATGTAATGTCGGCCGGAATGCCCCTAGTTTGGGCCCATACATAAATTCAGCAATCGACTAAATTTTCTATAGCGTCCGAAAATATCCATTAGTACCGTCTCAATGACGCGTTCATCTAGATAAAATTGATAAATAGCTGATTTTTAGCGATGGGCCCAATCTTAGATCCATAGGCCAACATTATAGCCATTTCCCCTATATAGTGTAATAGCAGGAGCATCGTTTGACACTGATAGCTCGACTTTGTTTACCTTTGTTTCTTTCGACGTAATGAAAATTTGCTTTAACATGGACCAACAGCCCAAGTAACCAAAAGTTCCGCATTCAACGATTAAAATCACTTCCAAGTTCCGTAAAGATCAAATAAAGTTCCGACCGAACTTCCAAGTTCCACAAAGTTCAAATAAAGTTCCGACAGAACTTTCAAGTTCCATAAAGTTCAAATAAAGTTCCGACAGAACTCTCAAGTCACATAAAGCAATCCACACAAGTTTTTATTAGTAACCAAATTCAATGTACGTAAATATGAAATGATCAGTGGCCCGAATAAATCATAATTCTTATATTTCTGCAGTGCATCAACATTCTATCCAAACATAAAAAAAATATTAAAAAGTAATTCCCTGGATTCGAACCCGTGTATTCGACATGCGATCTACGAACGCTAACCACTGCGCCACAAATGTGTTGGAATACCACGCGGGCAAACACCAATTTAAAATTCATCAAGGTGTTGTGATCCGTATTCAAGTCAGTCAGCTGGCACTGAAACCTCCAACAGTAGGCGGGACAACAGCTCACTTTAATGTATCTCAGATGACGTAGCGGTTCATGCTGGGGCTCTCACGCAGAAGGACTGGGATTAATTATCCAATTCTACTACTAATGCTGATAAATCAAAACGCATTAATACCTGCCTTTAGAAATAACTTTCATAAAAGTGCGAACTCTAAATATAGAATTGGTGTAGAGGACAAAACCTTTTTAAATTTATTTTCTGAAAGTTCCGTTCAAGTTCCGCCAGAAGCTGCTTAAAGTGCTCTTCAATTTTGATATCGGAATTTTCAAGTTCTTATAACGACTTAAAAATGAGGCTGTTTGGAATTCTATAGACCACCACCAACCAAGCTGCTTAAGCCACAAATAGCCTTTTATCAGAACGTTTGGTTACTTGGGAGGTCTGTGACATAAAAAGGGAGGAAATTTTTCTCTTGATGTGATACCATGAATTCGGGCCACTAAGCTGTCTTGGTCTCCTGGGGTGCTTAAGAATGGCCTACTTGAGGGAATAAGTTGGAATTTTTAGCATTTATAGTCAAAACATTATTCTTAAAAAGGGGGTTACCCCGGCGTAGTGGTTAGCATCCATGCCACTCACGTCAAAGTCATGAGTTCAAATCTCACCCCCGGAAAAGTCACGAATGACACAAGAATGTTAAAGCTACTATAATAGCAAAACATATCTTTAAAACTGGTTAAAGTTTAGTTAAATCCGATCACGACGAAAGAAGTTACAACAGTTTCACTTTTGTTTTTCGCCATATGTATACGAAATTGGACTTAGACCCCAATTTAAATTTTGTTCGTTCATATAACCATAAATGCTAACTGTGGGCATAATTTCATAAAATTCTGAAATCGTAGTAGTCAAACTTGTCCGGTTATAACAAAACGTCCAGAGCCTCTCGCATGCAGAACTACAAGGGGCAGTTGAGTGTACTGTTTGAATTTTTAGCTTCAATAATTTATCTTCACTTACCTTATAAGAATCATAAATCGACATCTATGTTGGTCACCTCTAAAAACATTCAAAACATTACAGTGCAAAATAAAACCGGAGCTGCTTAACAAAACAAAATTTTCCGAAGTAATTGAATGAACTTCAAAATCATAGTACCCACTTACACGCAATCGATAAATTTGAAACACTGTGAAAGGTGTGGGAAACTTGGCGAACAAAAATTGAATCAAACTGAATCCCTGGGGACAATCAACCAACCGTGACGTTTCCAAATTATATTTCTGGAAAATCAAACAAAGCTGGTTCCATTATTCCAATACTACACTGCACGTATGCGGATAAGATGATTAAGAGTAGGTGATTTTTGTTTTTCAGTTGACGCATTTGATTCGACAATTTGATTATGTTATTACAACAACAAAAGTTGCCAGTTTACTCTCACTACCATCTTCCATATGGTCCGTAGACAATTTGACGTTTTAATTGTCCTAGAATGGTTTAATGGATTTGTTAAAAAAAAAGTTTTCATTGCATTGTTGATAAATGATTGAAAATTTCCGATCAGATCCAGAGAGCTATTTATGAGTATTTTGCAATGAGATAAGGCGATCATGTTTGCCACCCACGTTTATATGTGACATCAGTCTTGAAAAGTGGCTGCGCATGTCCAGCTTCCGTGCAGCGAGCGGGATTTCCGATTATAAAATCTTACGATGGTCGACAGCAATCGCCAGTTATCCACAGTACGTACTGAGAGTCACTTTGGCCTACCAAATCGTACACCAGCACTGTGCTTGCACAATGGTCAATCGTACGAGTTAAATTTTAAAAGTCTGATTGATTACCTAGTCGTATCCGTTGGTTTTTGAATTTAGGAACTGTTATCAGTCCCTCAACGATGGAGTGGTTGCGTTTGGTGGCACTAGTGTTGTTCGCGGCAATGGCATGTGGCACAGAATCGTGGCAAAAACCGGGGTGCCACAAAGTAGGTTAGTGAGCTGTTAACTTGTCGTTGATTCCTGATGGATTATATTGAACAAGTGCTTTCCATTTTATTATCTTCATTCAGGACATACGAGAAAGATTAGCATCCCAGATTGCGTCGGGTTTTCCATAACAACCAACGCGTGTCGAGGATTTTGCGAATCATTTGCTGTCCCGTCGGCTCCGTTTGCTGTTGGGCAGCACAAACCAAGCCAACCGGTAACATCCGTCGGCCAGTGCTGCAACATTATGGAAACCGAAGACGTGAAGGTGCGAGTTTTGTGTGTCAACGGTATTCGAAATCTAACGTTCAAATCGGCGACCAACTGTTCGTGCTACCACTGCAAAAAGGATTGAAGGTTGGATTTAACGCTGGACAAGAGCAGCAGAATGTGATCAAGCTCATGACTGTTATCCTAATGTGGAATAATTACTATATTATTTACCTCTGAGCCACCCTTATGCATTAGTGTGATGACAATGTGCAATGTGTATATTATAAAATAATCTTTTCCCAAAGGGATACTTAAGGTCACTGTATATTAATGTACATTAGCAGATGGAATAAAAAAATATCTATATATTTACAAAAACAATCTACCGGCATTGCAATGACTTGATTGAAAAGATTACAAATCCATATCCAACCGGTTTTCTGTGAGCGGAAAGTAGCAAGACGTTTTTTTTTTATATAGGGTAAACGCCTAAATAGTGGAGGTACGTTAGTGTAATGTGTTCCAAAATGTGAGACTCCATAAAGCCCCTACAGGAACATATTGCACTAATGTACCTCCACTATTCGTATGTTTACCCAAGTCGCTTTAACACTTTTGGGTTATTCGTGGCTTGTCCGGGGATAAGATTTGAACTCGTGACTTTGGCGTCAAACGCATCGATGTTATCCACTACGCCAAGGTGATTAATTGATCAGATCCCATAAATAAAGCGTTTTTCAAATTTGGAAACTTACTTTTCAATCAAAAGGATCCTATAAATTCATGGAGAAAATTGTTTACATTATAAAATAACAATACATACGGATGCTTTTCAACCCAGCTTCGTATTCTTTTCTGCATTAACCTTGTCTGTATCTTGGGGTCAATATGACGCCAGGCAATTTTTGCAATCTTGATTATTCATCTTTTTCTTTTTTTTTTCTCTAACATTTTTGCATGCTAAAGTCTGCTTGATATGCCTGCTGCTTAGTTGAGATATATTTGGAATTTTATTTAATATACTCGTCTGGAAGTATTTTCGCAATGAACTTTGCTTTATTTTAGAGGTACAAAGGGTTAAAGAGAGTGATGCGATAAACTCCATTCGTAAGTGAAATGTAGTGTTTTTTTGTGTAATGTGTAGTGTTTGACGCCATTTTATAATCCAAGATGGTGGCTTCCATTTTCTAAAACAAAATTAAGGGTTGTGTCCAAAGCACGGCCGCATTGTTGACGTAGGACTACCAGATTATTTTTGCTGCTCCATTCAATAATATATTAATAACAAAATAAATGGTTTAGAAATTTAACTCCGAAATAAACAATTCATTATTTATTTATTTTTTAATTTGGCGGTTATTGAATAAATCCTAAAATTAAGACTCAACTTTCAAAATTAGAAAACAGTTCCTTTATTATTCATAACTAGGTGTTACTTTCGAAAACTTACTAATGTTAGTCATGCCAACACAACTTTAGAAATTAAAGTGCCCCTGCCATCACAATTCTTTATGTTACAGAACTGTGACAGACAAGTGGCTTCACTATATCTCAATTAAAAATCTAATAACAGCAAACGTTTTAATTGAATCAATGAAATGCCAATTTGATTGTTTCGTTGTAGCACATTGAACCACCGATAAACCGACATGACACTTAATTCTGACTTTTGCCCGAAAATCATAAACGGCCGATTTAAATGCGCAGTGATCCGAACTGTCAAAATCATAGGATCTATTGATCTACACAGCAAAAAAATAATTTTGATATCACGTCAAAGTGGATGCACTACAATCATGTCGAAAATATGGTGTAATATTACTTGCTAAAAAGGAAAAAATTATCATTAATACAATGCATGAACTGACATTACGCTGCTTTTACTGCATTTGTTTATTTATGTGGTCATAAAAATTACATGAAATTTTCGACATGATTGTAGTGCATCCACTTTGATGTGATATCAAAATTATTTTTTTGCTGTGTAGATAAAAATAATTTATCCAGAATAGATCAGGCACGAACCAATTTATAACTTTGGCATGCGGGTTCATGGCTTAGCTAAATATTTCCCGCGACCACGGAGCCAGATGTCAGTAGTGTGCTTTAGTCAGAAATTTGTTTGTTTTTGCTATGGTAATTCATGTCGGTTTGTCGGTGATTGAACTCCCAATAGCACGGATTAAACCCCATATATACAACATATAGTTCTAGTTAGTTTTCATTAAACCTGAGCGCCACCGCCGCCGACACTTTTACACACGCCGCCGCCACCGATGATTTTGAAATAGCTTTGAAACACTTCTAAATAATATAAAAAATCTAAAATGGGCTGTAAACCATTTGCGATGTTACTTTTACAGAACTTTTACACACGCCGCCGCCACCGATGATTTTGAAATAGCTTTGAAACACTTCTAAATAATATAAAAAATCTAAAATGGGCTGTAAACCATTTGCGATGTTACCGATCGATTTGTTTTCGATCAGAACTCAGCAACGATTGTCGAAATTTAACTTCTTTTCTGTCAGAAATAACCACGCTCGGATATTATTTTATTTTATTATTATTATAGTCCATCTGGCTTGATAGTCTCAATGAAACACTTAAATCTAAACGTAGTCACTCATTAAAAATTAAAAATTGGTCGACAGCAATCGATGACGAAATCTGTCGGCATTGATGTCAAAGTCAAATAGGTCAGATACTTCGTTGAATTGATGAATCATGGCGACAAAGGACCTGTTTGCAACATAGTTGATTGCATGTACTACTTCATGCAGCAAGGTTCTCGGACGGAGTATTCGGGCAGGAGCATACAGATTAATTTTGGCCAGTAACTCAGGAACATCATATTCTGCGAGCAAAACTTCAGCAACGAAGACGACCTGCGATATGTTTCGTCGCTTAGCAAGAGTATCCAAACCCAGTAAACGACAGCGGTCAGCATACGGTGGTAAATTCAGTGGGTCACTCCATGGAAGATAGCGCAGTGCGTATCTGACGAATTATCTGTGAGGTGGTAACCTTTCTTTTTGGACTCTACTGTGACCGCCATTTTTCTTGCTATACTGTTTGTCATTCCTCATGTTATTATCAAAACAATCGGTCGAGAATTAAAACGTTTTTTTTTTATTAAAGAGTGTTTTTGTGTTTCTCTTCACTTTTGCCCATCCGAAATCATCTTAGGTTATGGACCCAGATAGGTTCGGAACGGTTTACGGATAAATAGTGAAAGTGATTGTTGAACGTTTTCACCTGCCGCTGTTCGATGGTGCTAATTTCGCGTCTTGGAAGTTTTGCATGCAGGTACTCTTGGAGGAGCACGAACTGCTGGAGTGCGTGGAGACCGAGATTGGTGATGTTGCAGCGCTGAAAGACGAACAAGGCGATAACGCGGAAATCAAGCAACGTAAGGAGAAGGAACGCAAAAAACGACTGAAGAAGGAAAGAAGATGCAAATCCCTCATCATTTCCCGAATCCACGACTCTCAGCTGGAGTTTGTGCAAGGAAAGCGCACACCGAAGGAGATTTGGACTGCACTGAGCAGAGTTTTCGAGCGACGCAGTATCGCCAGCCGCATGTATCTTAAGCGCAGGATGTTGGCATTGCGGTATGAGGACGGTACCTTTTTTTTTTTTTCCTTTTGGTTTGTTTTTTCCGTCGATCTTGTTTTCCGTGCTGAGCACCAATGCTACCGACGTGCCAGGAAGGCAGCTCCCACACCTGGACCCTACCTATCGACCCATCAACTCATGAACCGGGGACCAACGGCTTTACTTCCCATCCGAAGGAAGGCGTGATCAGAGATGTTATGCCTCAGAACATCCCGGCGGCGCCGACTGGTATTGAACCCAGGCCTGCTGGGGTGAGAGGTAATCACGCTTACCACTACACCACCGGCGCCGTTTAGGACGGTACCTTGCAGGAACACTTTCTGTGCTTCGATCGGCTAGTGCGTGAATACCGTGGAACGGGAGCAGAGATGGAAGAACTAGATGTGATTTGCCATCTCTTGCTCACATTGGGTCCATCGTTCGACACTGTGGTTACTGCCATGGAAACAATGCCAGAGGCAAACCTGAACATGGAGTTCGTTAAGTGTCGCCTCTTGGATGAGGAAACGAAGCGAAAAGGGATGCATAGGGAGCAAATGGTGAAGAACGACGCAGCTGTTTTTGTGGGCACCAAGCAGCCGAAGAATAAGAAGAAGTTTAAGTGCTTTGGGTGCAAGCAAGAGGGGCATAAATTGTCTGTTGCCCCACGAAAAAGGGACAGAAAAGTGTTGAGAAATCTCGCGCAAAATATACGCCGAAGGCGTACGCAGCGGAATCTGGACCGAGCGGTGTTTGTTTTGCTGCTGCGGGCGGTGATATTGAAGTGAAGAAGTTTGCTGAAGAATTTCGTGTGCAGTGGTTTATCGATTCGGGATGTTCGGACCACATTGTCAACGATGTCGGATGTGCAGTCTTTGTTCACGTGCCGAAGGAGTTACGCAAGAAGTTGGATCCGAAGGCTTGGAAAGCTGTTTTCATCGGATACGCACATAACGGTTACGGGATTTGGAACCCGAAGACGAAGCGAATCATTCATGCGCGGGATGTGGATTTCGTTGAAGCAGAGGGTGGTCAAACAGACGTTGAGAAGAAGCAATCACCTGGTGGATTCGTGTTACCTCCAGTAGGTGATGAAGAGTCGGACGAAAGCGATCGGGAAAGTGTTCAGGAAAGCGAATCGGAGGATTCTGACAATGAAGCGAGCGGAGGTTCCGCCGAAGGTGCAGACGAAGCCGTTTCAGAAGCGTCTGATGATGAATGCTAATGCTAATTAATTTAGATGAGCTCAAAAAGCGAAGAGAGTTCGCAATGATTGCTTTTATAAACGATGTGATTTCGCAAAGAGTTAACAGTCCAGAGATTTTGGAAAATATCCATTTTTATGCTCCCACTCGCTCACTGCGGAATAGAAATTTGTTTAGCATCAACAATCAAAGAACAGACTATGCCAAAAACAGCCCATTGAATAGAATGATGTCTTGCTATAATACATACTGTGAATATATTGACATAACAATGAATAAAAGTACGCTTAAAAAAACTTTCTTCACGAGGTTAGCTAGGCATCAATAATAAAATATAAATGCTATGCAAGTAATTGAAGTAAAATTGTAACAATTAGCGTTTAAGTAAAACTGTAAAACGGTCTACACTGATTGACGACTAATAAATAAATTCGGAAGTTTTCGTGACGAGGACGGATCGGAGGAGAATGCTCGCCCGGCGCCGGATATCAACGTGGAATCTGGGAGACCACAAAGGGAAAAGCGCCCTCCTTCCTGGCATCAGGA